GCGCTTCGCGCTGGGGCCCCGCCCAGAAAAAGGGTAAGTGCCGCAATCCTGAACTTGCCGGCTGAAGCGTCACGATACACAACCCCCTCAAAAGCGCTCTGCCTAGCTTTCCAACTTGGGGTTGCCTTCGGCAGAGCCCACTCCCGGGGAAGGACGACAATTTATGAGGAGCCACGGGTTCAACACGTGGCCCCGCAAAACACAACATCGCGAGCCTGCCATGTTCCCAACACGGCTGGCATTTCCAGTTCGGCTGCATGCTCGCCAGCACCTGCGCATCCTTCCATTCCTTTGTGTGAAAGCGGTACCCGCGCTGGGCGACGGGCGAGTAAAGAGAACGATAGGCCAAGGTCCCCCGTTCTGGGTCTGGCAACACACGAGCCCTACTGCGCAACTGCGACAGACGCGCAAAGGGAAAGCGGCGCGAAAAGTACGAACTCTTCCCTATCTAGCCCCTTAGCTCGGTTTCATACACCTTGGTTTAAACGGCTCGAAAAAAATGAAAGCCTATGAGATAGCAAGAAGCACGAGGCCAAAACGTCGCTCGTAGCATAGTAAGCTGCCGAGTTGCTGCGACCTGTTCCCACTCCTTGTACGCCTTGCACCAACTGAAACCGCGGAATTACACCCCAGCAGCCAGGCGGGTGCCCAGTAAGCCAACCTCCTATGTGCCCGTCTGCTTCTGCGCCCATCTGCTCCCACAGTGCCTAGAAATGTTTCACCGCGCTCGGTTGACGCGGTCTTGTCTTATTCGGGACAGGTCCTGCTGCGGTCCAGGAGTGCTCTTGTCCCAATCTTCAAGTGCTACATGCTCTACGGAGATTCGCTCAAGCGCATCCTCAGGCGCAAGGAAACCTGTACACGTCGTATTGGCTTTATTTTTCCTAAGGAGAATGTTTACACAAGTAGCCAAGATGGGGGTAAACCAGGGAAACGAGAACAGATGCATGGAAGTCTCCCTTATACTCCCAGTAAGGGACAAAGACGTGGACGCGCTAGCCGTTCTGAAAGGTTCGAAGCGTCTCCATTTGGTTCGCACTGTGTACAAAGGTAATCAATCTGATGTTGTTAGACACAAGGCGACAAACGCAAAGGCGAGGTGGTTTCAATTCCACGAGAAGTTTTGCTTTAGTTTCTTTTGGCAGTCTAGACAAATATTTGGACTTCGTCCAGAAAAAACAATTGCTAGGCAAGTTTGAACCTTTGGGGCCCTCGTCGCCAGGTAATCGTACTCTAGGGACTCGACAATAGAGCCCCGGTAAATTGCACAGACCAATGACGGCTGAGCAGCTGTGGGCAATACGCATGTATTGCAAGAACCGTGCCAATAAAGTTCAAACAAAAAGGGTAGCACTCAGTACAGCAACCGGTTGGTGTCACCAACTGTTGTTACGTTATGGCCGAGGATGACAACACAGCGACAGAACCTTATGTTAACAACGTAGTGCTGATAATTTTAGCTGTCATGCCGCTGTATATTGTCGAGGGCAGGAGCCTCTTATCTACTTCGCTGCTTCTTGGTGCCCTTGGGCAAAATTCAGGAACAACCTGGAAATCGACCTCATAGATATTAATCTACTCATTTGATCTGAGTGACATTTTTGCTGGTACGCGCATTACCGGAATCAGGCAGACCGACTGTTCAGACTGGTACGGTCGTTATCGCTGATCCGTGAGCTCATAACAGTTTCATCTTGATTTACTGAAACTGTATCTGCTACCATATACGCGACACACGTAGCTCCCGAAGTTGGTGAAGGCAATAATCGCGTCGCCGTAGTACGACGACGCTGACCTTCTAGATTGCCAGCTGGCTCGAACTTTCAAGTGCATACCGCGGGGCTGCATTTGCAGCATCAATACCCTCATTGTTTTCCTTTTTCGCTGATCTCGGTTGTTTGCAATTAGCGCGAAGACCGGATTTATCCTTGCTCCACGCTTAGAAATGGACTCCCACAGCACTGACGCTGCTGGAATGCAGCATGGCCATGGTATTTGGGAATGTGACGGCGAGCCTCTGCTGACTGAAGGCGGTGAGGAACTTTGAGCGAGAAGCTCTCTGGCTTTACCGAGGCGGTTACTAGCCAGCGCCGCCGGCCCTACCTGCTTAACGTTTCCTGCAATCATACGAATTACATAAGCCTCTCTCTTTTGGATTCTGAGGTGGCTTGAGCTGTTAGGGCTTTGGTTGCACACTTCAAAATTCGTCACTTGACTGAACATACTTTGCTGCACTGCTTCCCATATTTAACATCTTATATCTGGGGACACTTGGGGCACTATGCGCGGGATCTGTTGGCGTCAGCGTCACATTTTCGGGTAGGAAGCTGTATCACACTGTCACTTGAAAACCGGCATTGGCAGGATTGCGCTTAAGAATGATCACCTGCATTGAGATCCTTCTCAGCAAAAGATAATTGATTTCATTGCAAGCTGTTCCTTATCCCGCGTGCCTCGATGTTGCTCCTGACAACCGCAGGTTCATGGATTGGACATTTTGGTCCTGGGATTATTATGATTATATGGGGACTCCATTGGATGCAGGGTACTTTCAGGTATTACAGAGGCCGTAGTTGCTGCTTGCTGCCTCTTGCTGTTGAGTATGGCAGCCGAACAAGTTTAGGGCCGTGTTTGTAGGAACTATTTCAGTAGCCAACGGAATAAGGGACAGGATTATCAAGCGCGGACAACGTATAACCTGTGGCGCTTCCCAGCTGTGTCCGAAAGCATGTGCAAGACTTTTCTACCTATGATTGCTATGTCGATCGAGCTTTACTTTGCTCATCGTGGTGGTTGGAGGTAAGGCTTTCGCTTGCAAGTGGTTTAGTTTTTTTTATGCGGGCCTTACCTTACCTAGTCGATCTGTGACGGCTCTCCACATTAAGATGCTTTGTAAAGTTTGCCCGCATCGGTCATCGACCATTACTCATTAGAAGTTTATGGCCTGCGAAGGCTGCGTCGGCATTAATTTGATCGCCCGTATCTGGTCGTATCCGTTGCAGGACGCTCGTCTGCCCCGCGGGGACTAAGCGCGAGGGGCGCTTCTACGGTCCACACATGGGCAACTGGCAGCATGCGGCCATGTATCCTCCAGTCATCTTGTCAGGTGCGGCTGGGCGCTGCTGGGGGCTTGGAGCTACAAATTGCAACTCAAGCGGTTTCAAATTACCTACCCATTTGCACTCCGCGCTGCCTTCAGGTCTTGTCGACCTTGTGGGTATGGAGGTTGAGCTTCCCCGGGGCACACAGCAGGTGAGTGGGTGAGTGGGGGATGGACACCTTCCCGTACAGCGGATCCTGCTGCGCATCGCGCCTCCATTCCCCGGGGGGAGGAGCTCGAGCCCTGCTTGCTTGCTCATGCCACGCATACACCCACGTGAATCCATGGAACTACGGAAGGACTAACACTTACACACGTTTGGTGCGCTGTGCTGCAGCGCACCGGCTGCCCTCACAATGGCCGCCTGATCCCCCCGGAAGTTGATTGGGCCCCGCCCTTCTGTTGTCGTCATTGCTCCCCCGGGCCTTAGGTCTTCCTCTTCTTGGCGTTCTTGTGTGAGTCCCTTTTGATGGGGCTGCACAAGAAGCACACTCCGCTGGACATCGCGGTCCACTCGGTGCTTTTCTACACCATGATGGCGACTGCGGTCATGGTGCTGCTGGAGGCAATCCACCCCCGCAGCTTTCTGCTGTCCTGTGGCCGCGTCGTGACCATGCTGGTGCAGGGAGGCTGGTTTGTGATGGCGGCGCACATCCTCTTCGAAGGTGAGCGCGCGCGCTGTTGCACCGAACAGGTCCCGAATAGTGACCAGCACTGCTGCTAAACGAGGCGATACCCGTAAAAGCTTATGGACACGTTGGTCTTCGCCCGGGAGTGATTATCCTACATGCCGTGTCGCATAATCCTTGTTCGTGGTAGCTTTATCGTGCACGAGCTTTGCCTCCACGTAACCTTGACGAAGACCTCTGCTCAAAGCGCTCTGCCCCATTTGACGGCTGTCAGAGTACCGAGGTGTGTGACATGCGCCCCGTTTGAGGGGTAACTCTGTGACACGCCTCTATTGCTGCAGGGGTTCCGGCGTGGATCGAAGACGGCGGCGAGGACATGGCCCCCGCGATGATGGCTCCAGTTTACTTCGTCGCGATTATTGTCGTGTCACTGTTCCTCGTTTTCCTGGGTGAGTACTGGGTCGCGTGCTGCACAGTATTTGCCATACCCGCACCTGCTGGTGATGGCGATCCCCTAACAGATGGTTTGGTCCAATCTTCTCGGAGCGACCTGAGGGCCCTGAGCCGTCGTCGTTTTCTCTTTTGCACACATTGGGAGAGCTAAATCGGTGCAGGTTGCCAGCAGTTTGCCGATGTTTTAGGTTAGCTGTGAGTCATGCTTGGTTTCTTGTTTCTCGTGTAAGCTGCTGGAGAGGGCCCACGTTAGGGGGTTGTCCTCCATTGTAGGGTTGCGACGCGTTGCACGCAGCATCCCGTACATGGTTGCGTTTCACCAATTCACTCCTCCGTGCATTTGCGCTTCTGTGAACCGCGCAGCATACTTGGCGTTCCACACCTACTACAAATACATGGACAGTAGCATTGCTTGCTACGAGCGTGCCGGTCTCCTGGACGAGGACCGCATTGATGGCCGCCCCACTCCACATGCCGTTCCCATGGCTACACTCAGTGGAAACTCGGGCACAAGCTGCCACGTTTAAGTGTAGGTTCAATACCGCATCAATGGCCCTGGCCAATTTGCGGATGCTGCGGAGAAACGTTACAACGTAATAATGTAAATTTTTAACTCAAGTTTGTGCAAACTGGAAAGGATCATGGCTGGCTGCACTGATGGCGAGGCGGAGGGGGATATATATACGCATGGATCAATACGACAACGATACGTGAAGGACGATGGCCATTTTGGAGCCCGTACGTATGTCGGCGGCCAGTGTGGTAACTGAAGTAATAGTCATGTTCAATGGGAATTCTGCATTTTTTTGACATTGGGCTGGCTGCCGTGGCCCGTCACTCTGCGTATGTGCAAATTGACGTAGAAACGTTGTACATGTGGCCATACGTAGGTAGGAGTAGGCATGACGAAAATTCGTATAATAATGCACATACTTTATATAAGGCTACCCCAATGTTTTTTGTCGGCAATGCAACGCAGCTGTTGTGCTCGAAGTAAGCACAAAGAGGGGCCACGATGTGGCTGGGGGGCTGGCGGGTCCGATGTAACGGTAGGTGGTCAAGATTATCAATGTGTTTCGTAGCCCTTGGGGGCCGTTGTGCATGCAGGCTTTTGGGTCCTGCAACCGTGATGCACAGCCTCGTGCACTGCTGGCGTTATATATTGCGGGATGCAACACCACGCCAAGTCATGTTGTTGTCCAATGTATAAGCTCGCTTTTTTCATTATCCCCTTGTTTCAACGCATGACCGCCCCAGGCAGTCTGCATTGACTATTGCTGATAAATGTGTTTTTACTGCATACAGTAGCCACCGAACGTGCCGCGTGCGTTTACCCTTGCCGGCGCAAGCAGAACATTTGGGATTTGCGAGCTCGTCGTTGAAGACGCCTACAAATAGCTAATGCACGCGCGACATAGCATACAATACATACCGCAAATTTGTAGCGGTGGCGCATACTGGCATTTAATTGTGTGTGTGTGTGTGTGTGTGTGTGTCTCTTGAGGCTATTGCGGCTTGCATGCTCTTGCCTTGCGGAGGCAATGATGCGCGGATCCGGTACATGAATGCGGTAACTGTAACTCTGCGGTCCAATATGGGCTTTCGCACTATTGCACAACACCTCCAACGTAAGGCCAGACGGGCCGGGGAAATTATTAAGCGACATTGGCACTGGTGTCCACGGGACCTCAGACAGCACCTACACGCTGCTCTAGGGACGAAATGCTGCCATGGACTCGGGGTGGTTGCAGTACATGATGCGGTCTAGAGCCAACTGCTGTCCGAATATCTGGTAGCCTCAGGACAAGTTTGCGGTTTTGTACCTGTAAGCAACTGAAGTCTGGCTACCCTCCTGTGTGCACACAGCACATCGCAGTTGCCGTAGGCAACTTAAATCTGTGGTGTTACCGCTGGGGAAATTTCTAGTCAGCAGGGGTTCGACGTCCGCCCATGGGCCATGGTTCTCGCTAGTGGTTCATTTCTGTGCTGTAAAGTCTGGGGTTCTTCCACTTGTATCCTTTAGAGGGAATCCAGGCGAGGTGGCCCCCACCGGTCCTGCTAACGGCCATGGCCGTAGCGTCACTGCCGCCAGAGCGAGCTTGGTCGGGTAAGTGGTTGATAGAGAAGCGTGAGGGGCCGAGTGCCTTGGCCCGCTCGCCCGAAAGCGAGTGGTGGGACTGGAGGATTGGGCCAAGGATGTCCCGGGGCGAGATGTTGGGGGAGCCTGGCAGCTGGTTTAGCAGCTCAGTAGCGCTAGTGCTTTTGTGATGTATTACTGCGGCGCAGCTCTGGGGGTTCTCGGCGGCTCTTTCTGCGGCGAACCGGCAAGGCCATGACGGTGTAACGCCGCAGCGGGCTCTCCCGCCAATACCCCCCGGTCGACCGCGCTGCTGCTGCTGCTGCTTGTGGTGGTAGTGGTCGTGGTCGTGGTGCTGGTGCTGATGTTTATCCACCTCTATCTACCGCTAATTAGGACATTCTAGCAGGGCGGCAGCAATAAGCCATGGTGTTGTTTCCGCGGCAGCAGCAGCGGCAGTAGCAGCAGTAGCAAGAAGAAGAAGAAGCTGTAGCAGCAGCAGCAAACGAAGGTAAGCACCTTGGAGTACTGTGCTCAGTAAGCGCACAGCTCACCGACCTCACACTCTTTGAAAAGCTCTCCGGCATTCCGTGCTCGGCACGATTTGGCTTTTCCTCCCAAACCTCCAAAACCGAACCTTCTAAGCTGCATCCTCAATACACACACAAGTCCCCACACCTTATCCATACTCAACCGGAACTGCTGCTGCGGCTGCTGTTGTCGCCTTAACTCCCACTCCTGCCTCCGTTTGGAGAGCTGGTTCACCAGGCTTGTATCGGCAATTGGGCAGAGTGGGCTGAGACAGCAGCGCTTCCAAATTTATCTCCGGAGAAGCTATTGCTAACTAGGAGGGGATAAGAACTACACAGCCCACGGAGGCAAGGAGGCAGAGACTGGACCGTCCCTTTCCCTCACCCGAGCTTCTTTCCTCAATCCTCACCTTCACCTGGTGGTCCCACCTAACTTCCCTTAGCTTGTTCCCTCGCCTCCGTCGTCGTCCCTGCACCCATTAGTCATCTAGTCGCCGTTCGATTGCCGCAGTGCCTGATCCACCAGCTTAACAGCCACCCCCGCGGATTAGCCTCCCGCAGATTCTTCTGCGGATCTGGGTCTGGATTTGGGTCCGGCAGGGTGAAGAGGTCTGCCACCATTTGGGTAAACGTGTCCGACTCCAGGGCCGCGCGACTCAAGAGGTCTAGGGCAGCCTGTGCTTGGCGTCGTACAGTAATGTACGGAAGTGGAGGTTTTCGAGGGTGGATATTACGGCAGTAGCACATTGCTTCAGACTGAGCGGTATGAGCGCTTACATCTCTGCCGCGCCACAGGCGCCGAAGTGCCATGGCGGAACAAAATCGCCATCCGACGATAACGGCACTGGAGATGCGGGAGACTTACTCTTGGAATAATGACAAGCACAAGGTGAAACAGCTGGAGCAGCTGAACATATTTTTTGGCCCATAGAAAACAAGTTTTGCGTGCTGTAACTTGGGTTATGGAAGAGACACGATCGCGCAAAGATGCACATGAGTCTGCACGGCATCGCGTTGTCATCGTCCAGCTCCGCACATAGCTCCGCAAACGTGACGTTGAGCATGTCGTTCTGCGGAAAATGTGGTGTGTGTGTTGTGTTGTGGTGTGTTGTGTTGTGTTGTGTTGTGTTGTGGTGTGGTGTGGTGTGGTGTGGTGTGGTGTGGTGTGGTGTGGTGTGGTGTGGTGTGGTGTGGTGTGTTGTGTTGTGTTGTGTTGTGTTGTGTTGTGTTGTGTTGTGGTGTGTTGTGTTGTGTTGTGTTGTGTTGTGGTGTGGTGTGGTGTGGTGTGGTGTGGTGTGGTGTGGTGTGGTGTGGTGTGGTGTGGTGTGGTGTGGTGTGGTGTGGTGTGGTGTGGTGTGGTGTGGTGTGGTGTGGTGTGGTGTGGTGTGTGCGGGGTGGTGTGTGTGTGTGTGTGTGTGTTTGTGTGTGTGTGTGTTACATGGTTGGGGGGTGTGTGACCCCATACCTGTAAGACTACCCATACGAGCCGAAGGCCCAAGGTCAATACTACAACGCCTAAAAGCCACGGAGAAAAGGAAAAACACCGCACATCAGCCCAGATTAGCGTCCAAAGGGGGTAATTGAGTTTCGGTGAGCCCACATACGTTCCAACATCCTCGCCAGACGTGCGGGTTCCGATTGCATGGCCTCCAACATACTCTGTTGATGATCGAATCCCTCTTCAGCACGAATATCATTATAGGCTGGGCATTCCAATAACACGTGTTTTTCATCCTCAATTCGGCTATTAGTACCACAACAGTGGCAAAACCGCTGCCCCCTGGGGACATGGTACTTGCCCCTTCGTGCTCTGTTTGCCTCCAAAGCCCAGCAACATAAACGAAACTGCATTAGCTTACGATGTGCTAAACGAGGAATGAAAACCTTAGCATGTGTTGGCCGCATGACGGCTGCGGCTCCCGAAAAGGGCAGCCCCATCCAGTGCTTATACTTCGCCATTTGCACTCCCGGTTGCTTCCCATCTGATGGGTACTCCTCTGGCAAGACAGTCAGACGCGCGTATGGTCCCAGCCACTCATCAAACGCTCTCTTAGTGCCGTTATTATCGCTCCTTCTGGTAGAGGTCTACTCAACAACCAGTCAACACGCTCCTTTACCCCCACGACTTCTTGCGGTATTCCGCTCCAAATGTTGCACTCCAAGAAGGAAAACAGTCGTAACATTGAGATTCCCCAATCCTCCCATTCCGGGTTGGTCAGGGCATCGGTTATCTCCTGCCGTAAAACGGCATGAGCAATGGATCCCACTTGCTTTTGAAGGCGGTTCCAGAAACGGAGAATCTGCTTCACCATGTAATAATGTAAGGTGTGTGTGTGTGTGTGTTGCATGGTTGGGGGTGCGTGATCCCATACCTGTAGAAATGCGCATAAGAGTCGAAAGCCCAAGGGCAAGACCTTAAGCCACTACAAAGGATGATTGCACCATAGGGCATACCTGAGTTGCGGTGACTCACATACGTTTTAACATCCATGTCAAATGCTATGCCAGGTAGTGTTGGTGGTCGGGCTCGAAGGGGTACCTACCACTTTTTGCAGACTCCCCCTGAGCAATCTCTATCCGAAGCCGTTCAACTTTCCGGGTACTCCTTTGGGGTGGGCTAGTCCTGCAACATATCTTATGCCTCAGCGTCCATCCCTGGCCGCCAGATGCAGAGACTATGTGCACCTTAAGAGGCACGTGCTGCGGACTTGTGGCGGGTCCCGTCAGTTCTGAGCTACCCCACCTGGTTACCTGCTGTGATGAAGGGGGTTCTTAGGCAGGTCTATCGTGGACTCTCCATCCACACGACTCAAATCCTCGTGTGGTTTGCAGGTACTATCTGGCGCTCGGGATGGTGGTGATGATGATGATGCATATTCCAACCTGATTTCCGCAGGATACGTAGTTACCGGGCAGGTCTTGCATTGGTGTTTATTAACTTCTGCTCCTCGGATGCTGAGTGTCTCGTGGTGGTGAATGTATCGCGCAACAGGCAGGGCAAGTGTAACGTGAGCTTTTGGGTGCTTGTCCCTCACAAAGCCACGTTCGTACGCAGCGGTGGACGGATCTTGGGTTTCCAAGAAGTTATCGAAGTACATGTCAGGCGACCGTCTTCTTCTTCTTATGCCATGTGGATGCTGTTGTCTGGCGTGTTAACTCTGCGATGGTAACTATTCTGGGTCCACTGCAACGTAATGCGACTTCACATGACCAGTGGGAGGCGATGCTTAACACTGCACTGGGCCTGCTCCAGTAATGGGGGTACCAGCACTTCTGGGGTCCGGGCAAGCCAGCACCCGAAAATTTAGCTTTAGCAGCCCCAAGCGTGCCAAGGGCCGAGCTTTTAAATGGGATGGTCCATGGACTTTTAACCGCCTCTTAGCGAACCGCCAGCACCATTGTCTGGACACTTTTCGTTGCAAACGCTCGGCATACGAACAACCCCTCGGCCATGAGTCTTGCCTGAACATTACCTCTGTAGGGATGGGGCCATGAAGTTCCCCGAAGGAGTCGACCGTAACCCCATCCATTAATCGAAGCTGATTTCCCATGCAGCCCGTTCCTTATCAGCATAATGTAGGTAATTGACGCAGTATGAAAGTCATAATTGGGAAAGCTTCATGAATCACATTTCACAGGCGTAGCATTCTTAATCGCCTTCGGAATGCCGACAAAGAGGCTAAACGTCCACCTGCGCTAAAGGTCAAGGACATGCAGAGGTTGCCAGACTAAAACCTGTATGGGAGACCCTTTGCGTAATGATGTGATCCTGTAATCTTTGGCGATGACAGAGCCTCCCGTTACTGCCTGAACTGCTGGAACCAAAATAGACCAGTTGCGTACCTATGCTGCTCCCAAAGCTCTATTATGTCGGTTATATAGCTTCCAGGTTAAAAATCCCATAGCATGGTTGGCCGTAAACGTGGAGTCGTGGCGTGTCAGCATAACGGTCTGTACGATAGACGTCTCACTCCTCGCATAAATGTTATCCCTTGCACTACCAAATAGTACCAGTGATTTTTAAGATCCTTAGACATCTTCTTATATTTTGTATTCTCGCTTTGGGATTTCTTCTCCCAGAATGGCCTCCAACGGTTCTTCTCGCTGGGATGGCGTCAAGCGGGTTTACAGCCGTCAGGATGTCGAGCGCCTGCGTGGATCCGTGAAGATTGAGTATACCCTCGCTCGTATGGGTGCAGAGCGGCTCTGGCAGCTGATGCACACAGAGCCATACGTTCCAGCTTTGGGCGCGCTGACCGGTGAGCCCCCGAGAAGCACGACATGCTGCCAGCGGATGCAGGATCATACTTTATCGTTTACTGCAATTGCATGACTCAAATCTTGATGTTTTTCTATCGGATGCTGCGTCGGCAAGCCGTGGCAACCGTCTTTGCCCGAACGGTTTTCGCAGCAGCCACCGTTTTTTCCATCGATTACCCATTTTTATGTTTTGAATTATAAAAACATACAGGTGGTCAAGCTGTGGAAATGGTTTCTGCTGGCTTGAAGGCTATCTACCTCTCGGGATGGCAAGTTGCTGCCGACGCCAACTCCGCCATGCAGGTATGCGACTCTTCAGTCAGCCAATAGATAACGGAAATTTAAATAATTTGCTTGAACTTTGACGAAATCTGCCCGCAGACCTATCCCGACCAAAGCCTTTACCCGGTGGATTCAGTGCCGCGCGTCGTTTCACGCATCAACAATGCCTTCCAGGTAAGCTACTTACAGCCTGCTCATGATGATGTGTTAGATTGCACATTTTCGGCTTGACTAAATGGGGCTTGGCACCCAACCCCGGTCATTTGCCGGTATTGGCAGCGCGCGCGTCCAATTGTCCTGTCGCCAATTACCAACGCTGTTTGCGTGACGGCTCGCAGCGCATGGACCAGATGCAGCACTCCGAGGGGCGGAACGACATCCATTGGTTCGCACCTATCGTGGCCGATGCCGAGGCAGGTTTTGGCGGAAATCTCAACGCTTACGAGGTATGTTAAAGCGCGTTTAGTTGTATACATCCTTCCTCTTACATTCCCAGGCTGGCTTGCTTTTTGGGGGAAATTAGATTTTTTGCGGTTTTGGTGCCGTCGCCCAGGCCACTGCATATACGGATTGCGGCTGCAAGCATTGCGTACTGGCCCCTCTTTCTGGGGGCCCAAGCATTCAAGCAAGCGTATCGCAACTTGCTATACCGAAGTAGAAGAAACGCCATGACGTATTACTTATGTTACGTCTGCCCCCAAACCCTACGCACAGCTAATGAAGGCCTTAATTGAAGCTGGAGCGGCAGCCGTGCACTTTGAGGTAACTGTGGTACATGTGCTCGTGGGAACTGCATACGGGGTTAAAGCGAAGCAGACGTGCATACATGCTAGACACAACCCTTGTGACATGCTGTTGCTGCCTTGCACTGTTGGAATGGCGCTTGCTGTCCGTCGGTGCCGTGAGGCTGCTTATGTTGACATGCTGCTGCTGCCCACAGGATCAGCTGGCTTCCGCCAAGAAGTGCGGCCACCTGGGTGGCAAGGTGCTTGTACCCACACGCGAGTTCATTCAAAAGCTTACGGCGGCACGCCTGGCGGCGGACGTCTTGGATGTGCCGACAGTCATTATTGCTCGTACCGACGCGCTGGGCGCCTACCTTCTCACCAGCGACGCGGACGAACGGGACAAGGCCTTCATGACCGGTGGGCACCGTAAATAGTGACCTGGGGTACGAGACGGCATAGCGGAAGGCTGCATGCGCAACGTCAAATCAATACCTGATTTTGCTAAGGAGAGCCCCCTCTTATGTCTTGGCCATGATAATCCTCTGCACAGGCGAGCGGACTCCGGAGGGTTACTACTCTGTGCGCGGCGGCATTGACGCTGCCATCGCTCGTGGCTTGGCATACGCGCCTTACGCCGACATGGTATGGTTCGAGACGTCGGAGCCCAGCATGGAGGAGGCAAAGAAGTGAGTAAATCGTAGCGGAAGTTCCTGCAAGCGGTGCCACCAATTGCTTGATGGTTGTACACCGCGGCACTAGTTCACTGTTACAGTCGAGACTGTTGGTGCCCCACCTTTTGATCAATGGTATGCATCATGTCGCAGGTTCGCTGAGGCCATTCACGCTCAGTACCCTGGCAAGCTGTTGGCCTACAACTGCTCTCCGTCCTTCAACTGGAAGAAGAAGCTCTCTGATGAGGATATTGCTCGCTTCCAGGCTACCCTTGGCAGCTGGGGTTACAAATTCCAGTTCATCACGCTGGCTGGCTTCCATGCGCTGAACTATTCGATGTTTAGCCTGGCCAAGGAGTACGCCTCGCGAGGTGGGTTTGCATCTGTGCATGTGCTCCGTTGTAACCTCCTTGAAGGGGACAGTACGGCATTAATAGACAGCGTACTTCATTCCATATTCCCTCGAGGAAACTCGCTACCGGTCTGCGCTGTTCCTGTAATATGGAATAGAGGACCAAGCGCACTGCTTTTCCCGCTGACTTTCTAATTGCAACTGGTTTTGCCCTCGCTAGGGATGTCGGCGTATGCGGAGCTTCAACAGGCCGAGTTCGGCGCGGAGAAGCTTGGCTACCGCGCGACAACCCATCAGAAGTTCGTCGGAACGGGCTACTTCGACCTCGTCAGCCAGGTCATCAGCGAGGGCACCTCGTCGGTGTGTGCCCTGAAAGGAAGTACAGAGGAGGAGCAATTTGAGCATTAATAGCGTGCCCGATGTTGGGCAGAGTAATAGTGCCTGCGCATTGTGTTTTCGCTCGTCCCAACGGTCAGACCGCGCGGAGTGGCGAGCTCCGGTCGTAGGTAGAGGTCGTAGGTAGCGCAGGGTGAGATGTGACCGCAGTGGAGACACTTGTTATCTCTTGTTTACGCTGTGGCTTCAGTTACATTTGTTAACTGATGGCCCTATGGTAGGTTGGTTATGGCATGCGTTACGTTTTTCACGTTCGGTGTTTCATGCTCATTTTTTTCGGTGTTTCATGTTCGTTTTGAGGTGTTTGTGCTATGTTTTTTAAATAACCCATGCGTGTGATTGCCCGTCATCAGCGGTCCACGACAGTGTCACAAATGAATGGCCAACGAATTGGGGCTCCAAAGCAAGGTCCCATATCTCCACATATTTTCATTTCTGTAACAGCTGTCATACGATTGCACAAGGTGAATCGCCAAACAGGGTATCCTGGGGGGTAAAGATTCCGAACTAAGTCTGCAAAGCTGCTGCAGCCGGCCGCCTCTATTGTAACGTGTCGGAACTAAGGCCATGCTCCTTTTCGTTGAGGGGGGCTTGGTTAATACGGGTTGCATAGAGTTGCGGTGAGACCATATACGTTCCAGCATCCTTGCCAGGCGTTCAGGTTCCCACTTCATAGCGTCCTTCATATGTTCGAAGCGTGGAAAGCCCATATCAGATCTGATTTCGTCGTACCCATGTAAATGAGCCCCGCCCTTTCCTTGGATACGAGGAACCCGACACCCTGCTTATTGATGCATGCGGGAAGGCTGATGGTTTATGGTTTATTTTTCTGCGGCTCTGTCGAGGGGGTATCGGGGTAGCAGGTGTTTGGCTTTTTCGCCTCCGTTGTGTTAATAATGCTGTGCGGCGGTACTCCGGAGGTCGTCTCCCGAAGAGGCCGTGTCGCTCTGGTTACACGTTGGAAGTTCTTTTTTAGTATACTTGGTGTGTTTGCGGTGACTGCTTTCTGTGATAGACTGTCTTTCTCGCTCCTCGCTGCGTGTGGTGAGATTCCCTTTTTCCAATCTTTGTCGTTGACTGCAGCGGGGATCTAAGCGAAGAATCCGAGGCAGACGAGGGAACCAAAAGAAGCAGGCCGAGTGGCTGCATGTATGACACAAACGAATGCGCGGAGGCAGAGGATACTCATGCAAACATACTTTATGGACACGGACCGCCATCCGACTTCAGAATGTATTCGTTGGGTTCAGCAACTCACCATCAGCATCCAACCGAATTAGCGGAACTACGGCGCCACAACTTAGATCCTGCACAGTTCATAAATTGCTTTAATCACATTCTACATTCTCCATAAGATGGGGGGCCCACCATCCAATGTAACACCCTTCACTCGTCGAGGGGTCAGCAGGCCGATTTGAACCCGGATCCTCCTCAGGCCATAACTTCTGCCAGCCACCTGCCTATATCGTATGGCTGTCAAGCGTGGAGACCGCTTACCCTAGCTGAGGTCTTGGACAGGCTCGGGAGGCGGAGTCGTGCGGGTAACCTTGCGGAGGGGCCATTCGAGGCATGTGTAAAGGACGGAGTGGTGCAGCTTCATGTATCGTTCATGCGACAAATTGTGGGAGCTGTCAGACCAACGTATCGTCTCCTGTTCGCTGAATAGTCGCGGCTAACCCTACACTAGTGTAGGGTTTTAGGGTAGTACTACCACGTTTTCAAACAGACTGTGAGGTTTTGGAGCCGTGTCCGTTTACAGCGTGGGTCTGTGGCACACCAAGTTTTGCGACATGAGATCGTAGAGTCACTCTCCAACCCATAAGAGGCCGGATGGGGGGGACTACTCCGTTTTCTAAGTTTTCTGGGGCATGACGTATGGAAAGAGGGCCCGCAAGGGCTACACGAGGTAGACGCCGATTGGTGAGTGGTTGGAAGCATACGCGTCTAGATGTCCAGCCAGACGTGTACCCGTTAGACGGCAAGCAACCAGGAATTCACGTGGCGAAGTATACGCGTTGGATGGGTCTAGCGGCCGAACAAGCGGGCAGGAAGGAGGTACTCCCGCATATCACAACGTTTATCCGAGCGTTCAGCGAATCGTAAGCTTTATGCAGTTTAGGCTTTGCTGTTGGGCATTGGCGGCTAACAGAGCGCGCAAGGGACGGCGTTATATACCTAGGGGTGAGGAGCGAGTAGGAGGAGCCCCTGCTGCGGCATCGATAGCCATATTAAGGATGAGAAGCACATTTGCTGACAAAATCAGATCTTGTATGGATTTCCCACGCTTCGAGCATATGAAAGACGCTATGAGTTGGGAACCTGAGCGTCTGGCAAGGATGCTGAAACGTACATGGTTCCCTTTGGTCGTTAGTAGCCTCTATTACTTGCGTTGTGTGAAGTGCGAGGTAGAATGGTGCTTATAGGCGATCTGGCAGCCCTTGAGCCCTCGGCTCGTATTGGGCGGTTTGCAGGTACGGGGAACGCACCCAAACGCACTACACAACCATGCAACATACACACACACACACATTCATGTACCATAGCAATCAAAACGTTCTGCTTCCGGTGTATCTTAAATGTCTTAAAATCTTTAATGACATGCAATAATCAATGGAGGTCGGTGAATTTCATGGTTGTAAGTTGCAAGCTGCCAGTGCGGGAGCTCAGCCAAGCGGCGGGAGTGGCCCCAAAGGGACTCCCACATTTCATCACCGCTCCGCACTGGGTAGTCTCAGCGCCACACTGCGCTTGGGCGGGAACGCCGGTATACTCATGCAAGGCCGGGCTAAGCAAGCGCAAAGGGTTCCCGGGCTGACTGGTACAAGTGAGTGCACACAGCGAACCCGGATGCAACAGTTGCACAACACGCAAGCCCAACGCGCTGGTCTTACGCAAGCGTCCCTCAAGCCCTCGCAGCGGTGGGCACTGGCCTCGCATCTTCGTGGTAAGCATGACTGGCACTTCTGATACCCAAGCCTTGCTTACGGAGCATGTTTTCTCAGGCAGCATAAATCATCAGTGCGCCAAGGAAATTACGCTCAGATTTGGCTCGTCTTCTCCTATTGGCCTGGAGGAAAAAAAGCACCTAGCTCTGTGCTTCCGCTACAATGCGAGGACCTTCCCTGGCAGCTTCAGCCTTGCTGGTTGCCTTTCAGTGCCTCCTCTTGAAAACTCGGTATTTTATCATTGCCAGCACTGGAGTGTGGCTCAGGTTTTGGCTCATTACTATTCATAGACAGACCGCCCAAGCTAGAGCTGAAGCCGCCCAGGGAAAGGATCTTGATAAGCAGATTGTACGTAATTTATTTGGCTCGACTCGCTTAGTACGACGGCTCGGATTCGAAGTATTTGAATAAACCGTCAGGAAAACTAGCAGCTGGTTAGTAGACAGGCCTTCGCTCAAATTTGTTAGAGCCAAACGTCATATGCATGCTGAGAAAGTCCTTCCCTTTGTTGCCTTCCGCGCACATATCATTACTCGACCAGCGTCGATACCGGTGAAGGAAGCTACGTTGACAAGCAACAGCTGCGTTTTTAGCTCGTGATGTGCCTTCGGTAAGCTTTCACAGCGAACTCCCCATGGCTGCAGAGGTACGTTTATGTGCACGCTCTTGTCCCGCACTCAGCAAGAGTTACTCAGGGTAACCTTACGGATTTTGAATGGTGCATTGTAGTTTGATAAAGGGGATGCAGAGCTTGCCAGCTCTTCATTTTGGCTGCGGTCACCGCTGATACAGGTACTCTCTCTACATCATCCTCCTTTCGGACGCACTTCCTGCTCACACTTTCTTATCCATAACAGGATAATCCTACGCCGTCAATGACGAGGAGTAGCATTGTTACCAGCAGCAGCTCAAGAATCTTGCGCCCAGGGGATTGGAGGCGCGTTGCAGCAGCTGATACGGATGGCGCGCCAGTCCAAGTCCCGCAGTGTAGCCGCTATAATGACAACACACCGAACATAGATGATGTGCATTCTCCCGCGTCAGTTAGCTTTGAAAACGAGGCAGGCAACCAGGGCAGTTCGCCCTTGGTTCCAAGAGCACTTGCTGTGACATCTTGCCGCAGCGACCGGGGCCCCAATCATGCTGGTGAGCGGGCATGACAGCTTGTATTGGCCTGCCTGTTGGCCAGCCTGCTGGAATGTAAAAATGTTTTCTCTGATGTGTGTCGGCATTCTTGATAAGTCAGTACCCTTTATGTGCATCTTTTCTGTAGGGTACGCGGGAGTTATCCAGGCGTTGGACTCTCCGTCGAGCGCGGAGGAGGCCTCTTTTCGGCTAGGTTCCCCAGTGGCAGAACTCCAAGGGCCTAGCCCGTCAGAGATGTCCCCGGTGCAGATACGTCGTCCACCGCCAGTCGACTCTGAGCTGTCAACGCCGGGTTCGGGCGGTTATGCCAGCCCGAGCGTACTGTTTGCTATCCCGCCCGCTTCACTCATGCGGTCCAGTGTACAGAACCCTCTTTACGTCGACAGGTATGGCCACCTCGCATTTTATTTGGCGATCAACTCATTATACATCCCTTCTATTCTAGTATAGGCATTTTGGCACTATGACGGACAGCGGCACAGCTATTATGACCACTGACATAGCGCCCAGTCACGTCCGTGCCGCCCCTGGATGCACGATTGTACACACCTTATCCAAAATTCCAAAGGCATAATTTTTGTCGTCGGTGCCCATGGCCACCTCTGCATGTAGTGATATGCTAGTACGAAGTCACTTTCCTTGGTTTGTGACTGTAGGCCGCCGTCAACTGAGGGCGACGATAACGTCGCCAGGGTGTTGGCGATGTCACCCCGTGCGGACCAAAGTCATGCGTCCAGGTTGCCAAGGTGCACCTTCGAGTCCGGTTGGAGCAGCTCGTCTATTTCTGCAGAGCGGTCTATTTCGCTACACGCGTCGCAGCATGAGTATGACGATAGGGTGTCATCGCTACCGCATGCAGACCCAACTGCTTCCCCAGCAGTTTCATCAGTACGTCAGCTGATCCCCTTGATGCCCCAAGTGGACGAGACTCCACGCCGAATCATCAAGAACCTTTCCGCTACGGCGCGAGGTTCTGCGCTAGGTGCCGATCTCGCAAAGACTACTTGTACTTTCTCGTCACGAATGCATGGCGCCGAAAAGGGCCTAGGGGGAGCAGGCCTGCAGTTGCCAAGTAACAGTTCCCGACGCCCCTTCAAGACTGACGAAGCCGGCATGGCAACGCCGTGTTCCGCAACGTTTCCCGGTCGTGTGGAGAGGGAGCCTGTTCCTGCAGCGGCTTTCCGTTCTGCGGCACGCAACAGTACGGCTACTGTCGTGCATAATGCATGCGACCCGTCCATCGGCAGAAAGGCGGCTCAACAGGCAGGCAGTACGAAACTTGTCAACATAGCAAACGTTCCAAGCAATATTGTGTCTCTTGACCGGGACGACACGTTTTCGGCAGGCCGAGCTCTGGACCAGACTCCTCGCAAGGGTGTCAGGGTCCCGGCGCAGGATGGCGAGAAGCACTGGCAAAATGCTGATGGTAGGTCGAAAGAGGCAACAAAGGCACAGCAGCGGCACACGGCGGAGCTAGGAATGCAGGGCGGCAAATGCAGTAAGGGAACGCAAATGCTGGCGTCCTGGCTCTTGCTTTCAGTAGTCCTGGCGCTGGCGCTGCTCGGGAACCACTTCACTGCCGAGTGGTGGAAGCCACCAACCAGGTATTGTCTAAGCAAAAGTCAACGTTAAAAGTTTCCGTACTGGCCTTGACGACACTGCTCTAATATTGTTCCCTCAGGGTGTTGGTTGCAGCGCCCTACAACACTGGCCCTGTTTGCTTCCTGGAGCGTTATCCAGGAGCAAACGACTTACCACAGGCAGCACCATCTCCAATCCGCAGGTTGCCCATGTAGGTTATCTTGTTTTGGAAATTGCTCGTAATCTTTTGCGCTTAAAGATTCAATCTGGCTCCAACGTGCAGTGCGAAGTCCGCGAGCTCCCGTGGATCCTCCCAGGCAACCTCGGTACTGGTTCCTTTTTGCTGGAGGCAGCTCCCTAATTGCCATGCACTCGATGGATTCTTACAGTCTTTCCGACGCGCGCCTTCGCTTGCGCTGTCTAGCTCTGGTGAGCATGGGCCAGCCACCCATTTTCATACCAACGTGTCGGGGGTGCCAAGTGAGTTCTTGGCGCCTGCGGAATTGGTTGGCGAAGCTGTTGCCAAGTCCATGTGTCCTTCCCTTGGGTGTACACCTGACGCGGAATCCAGCACATATGGCGGCTTAGGCGCTTCCTCAGGCCCCTCCAGAGGTGAATCGCAACTGGAGGGAGTCCATGAGGTCCATGACCTACAAACAGCTGCTTCCCAAGTTCAAGACTTATTTTCGCCATCTCAGCATGGGGAGCTCCCAGCCATGGTGACATATACTAATTCTTGCGCAGAAGGCAGCTCTGCTGATATCTTGGCCCAGCATGAACTCCAGCCTGACCTGCCCACGAGCTACCTCAGTTCTGCCCCTGAGGTTCGCGTGGGTGATCCCCTCGCACACATCAGTGCTGAAAGCCCAGCGGCAGAAGGGTCCGGACAGGAACAAGCAGCTCTTAAAAAGCCAGCATTTGAGCAGTCTGCAGCTGATCTCTATCCCCTCGCTAGCTCTGCCGCAGGTGTGATCACGTGTGATGAGGACCAATCTGGTTTGACCCTTGCTTCGCCTCCTATCGTTGCCATGGGAAATGGTGAAGCGCTTCAGGCCATTCTAAATGCGTCTGATACTGACGACCTTCGCGTTTCCGACAAACCAGTTTTGCGCACTTTCCTCTCGGCGCGGCTGTACGGCTGGAACCTCCCAGAGTTTCTTCTGGGCGCTGTCACGGCCGGATTTGTTGGAAAGTTGCTTGCCTGGTGTGTCGAACAACTCTTCCCATGCTTCAAGCGCCGGCAGAAGGCATTAAGGCGCGCCCTCGTCCAAGGCAGCACGGTTACATCACCCCAATCGCCCACAGTTGGCCGCATCCTTCGTCCCAAGTGGCCACAAGGTAAGATGACTTTGTAAGAACATTGCGAAAGGAATCAAGGTGCTTGAGCCGTCCTCCCTGAATGTGCAGGTGCCGCCAAAGTGGACGAGCAGGTCGCGCAAGTAAATGTCGCCATGCTGACTACGTACGAAAGCCAAAGTATCGCATCAGGGTCCCTTGTGTGGAACGGCAATAAGCTTGTGTACTTGGAAGGATGAACGAGGGCACCGAATAGCAGGGATTTTCGGTGTGGGCACCTTGTTTACTTGGTGACATCCTTGTGCCTATGCCTGCGTATGCATCTGGACTGTGCATAGCACTAATGCTGCCAGAAATTTATGGATTCTCTCGTGCGCGGAAGGGACGACACGTGGCTACTAAAGACGACCCTGGATGGTCTCAGAGCTGTATTGCATGCGTAGACACTGTGTGTACGCCCCGACAGCCAAGGCCCTTGTGCGTGCTGTAGACGAAGCTGGTGCTGGATGTGACGATAATTACCGGTTGGCATTGCATTTCCACCGTCAGGGACTCTGAGCCTGGGACCAAAGGACTGAGCTGCTGTCTTAGCGTGATGTGACCCGCCACTTCGTTCGGTCCTTTTGCATTCGATAGCCCGTACGTTTCGTTTCCTGAATGGTCGAGGGGTGAGGCTGGGCAGTATCTGTGCTGTTGGGCATAACATCGTCCGTATTGCTATGAACATATGAGAGGTCAGTTCATTCCGAAGCTACTCGGTACTGACCAACCCAGAATCAGAGCAAAAGAAAATTTGAGGGAGGAAGTACCTTTGCATTACCTGTGCTATAAGCCACAGTACTTCACGCTTTTGACCGCGTACGCCGTCGCGCATCCGCCGCATCGCGGCTATTCCTTGCAGGCACGCGCTGTGGATTTTTTTCAGCAGTCGCGGTCGATATGTGCGCTGCCATGGCAAGCTGTGGCATGGACAGCCGCGGTCCTAATAATTTTTCTATGACTCCTTTGATAGGAATTGTGTCGTATGTGAGTTTGCTGTTGTAAACTTCCCCAAATGGCAATACAAATCATTGCGGCTTTATAAAAGGCACGATGTACAAATTACGTATAACAATGTGCGGATTGTGGTTGTTGAGGGCTAAAATCCTTTAGTAAGCGTCGCGATGCATATCTATCGTATGCAGCCACCCGTCGTGAACTAGTTAAAACTCACGCACGCACCTTATGCCATCCAAAATGCGGTAAGCTTAGGCAAAAGACGCAGACCCATTGCCATACCACCGTACTTCGGCGGTTGCCGTAAGGAGATAACCGGGCTAAGTCCGATTCCCAAGACCCCAGAGGTACGCACCGTCCTATTTATCATGCTCAGACCCGGCCCAGCCAACAAGGCACACGGGGTCCTAACATATAGTAATAGGTGTGTTGCACCTCGGTTGCGTTACCCAGGGAAATGTAACGAGCCAGAGGTCCAAGAGCCTTGGTGCCAAAAGTACATAATACAACGCAAAATATCTAATACCCAAACATAATGCGCAAGAGAAGCAAGGACACTACTCAACTAGGACATCCTAAAACTCCATAATTTTGCATTGAAGTCCCTCCTTATTTTTGTATCACCGAACTTTTATTGCTGTTCCAATAGTGTAAAATACAGACGTATTGCTGACTGGTGTGTACACTAGCAAGGAAGGATCCTAGGCCGTTGAGTTGGCCATGCCCAACATTGCAGGTCGTCCCCGCCTTGTATCTATGTCTACACAACTTAGGTATAACCCATGCTCGTACTCAATACTGCTCCATCCCAAAGTCTCTTCGTACATCTGGACTACAGCCAACCTTTCCGGCTTCCGGGATGACACGGGAACCTGTAGCCTCCGGAAAACGTGAGCTCTGCTAGTAATCGAGGCCGTAAGGTACGGCCCCAAATCGTTGCTGTATCCCAGCCATTTGTATGCTGATCATTAGTCGGCCAAGATGGTGTACACGTGAGGGATTGGGGAAATACCACCAGGTCTCATATGGGACTGGCAACACAGGTCAGAATTACAACAGTCCAGCTCACTGGTTGCAAGCGAGACAGCTACCTAGCGTGGACGGCCACAAAGTCCAAGGGTGACGCAACCCATACAAGCGTGGCTAGGAAATTACATAATTGCATGGCAGGACACCATAACCATCGAAAGACGAATTCACGTGCGTCCGGCCATAATACGGTCGGCAATCCGTACCATGCATAGTCCCTGTCGACACTAAAGGCGCCCGTCGTATGTTACCATCTTCAATGACATGTCAGGCGCTCGTCACGGGACCACTCGTCCCATCCGTGCACTTAACTTGCAACCTCCCGCGTTCGGAGAACCACCCTTTCGGCCACAATCTTGGCCACTACCCCTGCCCCACATAACATTGAGCAATGCTGCGATTTGGGATCATAGGAAAAAACTTGATGCAGACGAAGCCTCAAAAATGGTGCAGTTCATTTTGCGCAATGCCGACGCCGCACACATACACTTACGATTACACTGCTTCGTAGCAGTCTGCACAGGTGATGCACAAGCTGCCTTCTGACAGACACCACCCTGCGCTCATTTGGCAAGTAACGCCTCTGGCGTGTTGTTCTGTGCACTTAGTGGCCGTTCACGCCTACTGCCCGTGATAGCCACAGCGCTGCTCCCAACCCCATGCAAAGGGCCCACGGCGCCGCCGCTGGCAGAGCCGCTCACGCCGCCGCTGAGCGCGCCACTCAGCACGCGGTCGATCGAGTGGTTGGTGCTCGACGGGCTGCGGCTGTACACTCGTGGCCAGCTGCGCGGTAAGAGATAAAAGGATGCAGCAGCGAACACAGCAGTAACGACACTCACATATTACTAGCATTCGTTTACCCCATAGCATCATCGTAAGCAGTAGTACTTGCATGATAAACTTACTCATTATGTAGGTCTGCCGCGGAAATCCCCAGGTCCTTTAGGGTCATGCCCTTCACCTCCAGTTTGGACTCAATAAGACGGAGGTTTGACAACACGGCCTCCAAGCGCCGTTGCAGCTTGTTTGTAATGCTGCGAAGAGATGCGAGGTAATCATAGCCTTACACAGAGATTTCACAACAGCAACATGACATCCCAAGATACTCCAGATTAGGAAAATTTTACCCCGCCAGGTTTGCAAGTGGGACCGAGCGATGACCAGGTCATCACCCACCTCTCCTCCTCCATCTCCAGCATGTTCTCCAGATTCACTTTGTCCTGCAATAATCCCAAAATGCGTTCCTCAACCCGGCGATGCATAACGGCCACAACCTGCCTTTTCCACATCGTGTACATCCGTACCTTGTTCAACTTGTCCACCGAGGCCGCCAGGTCCGAAACCTGTGAAAGACATGTAACGCATATGTGGTCCGCGAGATCTGGAAAGGCACATGCATCCTTCAAACCTGGATACTCACCGTCCTCTGGAGCTCTGCCTTCTCCTGCATGAGGCAACCATCAGCAGGACAGAGCACAAAAGTTGCTTATACTCTCAAAGCTGATCAACGACATGCAGCAAGTGCATAGCAAGTTACAACTTACAAGTCCGCACACAAGTGCGGGTGTGTCCGTAAAAGCCGGGGGGGCCATGGACGTGAAAATTTGGAACCATGTCTAGATTTGTGCGTGTCATCCTTGCGCAGCTGCCATGCAAATCTTCTCTGTATTTTTCCAATTTTAACATTTGTGCCAAAGCAAGTGCATAGCCGAAACAATGCACAAGTTACAAAGGGTCAACTATCGACTGCAAGTGTATAACCCGCTCCGCTCCTGTTACATACCTTCTGGAGGGAGAGTTTGTCGCTAGCTAGCTTGTCAACCTGCTTTTGGAGCCGGTTTAGGATGTACTCCTGCTCGCACTCCTGTAGCCGCAAACACATATTAACACAAACTCACGGAAGTCCTTTCCCAAAACGCAAAACAATACCAAAACAGGGAAAGCAATGGACGTGTCCCAACCCGAGGGACCAATCAAATAGCAGGTTTATGCGCAAATCCGTGTCTCAAGCCGTTCGTGACCGACAGCTAACCCTAGGGAACTGAGATTATGGCAAGGCTTCTGCATAACAATTTGCTCCTCCTGTCACGACGCAATTCTTACCAGCTGGTTCTCCAGCTCCACCTTCTCGCACATGAGCTTGTTCTTCTCCTGTAGTGCGTACAATGTTCCTCAAATAATTTCTTAGGCATGGCAGCACCAGAGGCAAAATCTCTGTACATGCACATTATCCACCTAACTGCCCTTCACCACTACAGTGCCGCTTATTTCTACGGGCTCTTCAGATCACTCCTCTGATTCACGCTACATCTACAGTTCCATTGGAAAACTCTTAACATGTCGCTTGCTTACGGAGCTCGCTTTGGTACAGTTATTCGTGTACCACCTTGCTCATTTCCCTCAACTGCGACTTAGACCCGACTCAAATCATTTGAAGACAATATCCACACGACAACGCCAGTGTACGGTGGGGGAAAGAGATGCCTGAAGCACAGAGCATGGTGCTTGCCATGGGATACAAGCGCCCGGCACGCTTGCACGCACAATTGAACCCTTAACCCGTGCCATTTAATGCATTGAACCAGGAGGACAATCCTGCTCCCTGCCAACGCTCCATTCATATTTGCACGTAACGTCATGTCTCGGAGACTGGTGCCGGAACGCACCACAACCCCAACCCGCGAAGTTGAACCCACCACGCTGAGCTGATCAATCGCCTTCCGGAGTTTATTAACAACGTACTCCTGCGGAAACAGGAAGTAAGCATCATGGGCTCTCTTTGCCTACACAATACATTTACACCTTGTCGAACGAGGCGTGTAAGTGCCGAATACCACCTACAAACCACGGGTTACTGACGCAACACACGTACGTATATGAACTGCCTTAAAGACTTCTCTTTGCAATAGTGCAATGTAGCCTATTATCTATACCCCCAATATCGCGGGGTCCCATGGCAGCGGTATATCCCTTTCCGCACCTGCTCCGCTTCGAGCCGATTCTCCAAATCCACCTTCTCCTTCGCTAGCTGCAGATGTGATGGCCCCACGTCAGTTTAATGCCACGACGCCAAGGCAAGAACGAAAATTTACCTTCTCAAGCCGCTTTTGAAGCGTATTCGCGAGAAACTCCTCTTCTTGTGCTACCTGAGAGAGCAGATCTATCTTCAGTAGCAACGAAGAACTGAAGACAAAAACTTCAGATAAACACTTCTTTCGGCACAATCGCACCTCACTGGCCAGCACCGCCTTCTCTTTCTTAAGTTGGTCGAGGCGCTTCATGAGCTTGTTCGTTATGTACTCCTCCTCTTGCTCAATTTGCTTTTGCTGTATGCATTGAAAGACCAGGTCATACTGCGAATATCTAAACGCAGCGGTGCGGCGGAGTCTCGGACAATGGACCCACCACGACCACATTGTGTTCCTTAGCAAGCCTCAGCTCCTCGGCAAGACCATCTGCTCGCCGCCTCTCGTAGTCAGCCTGCAGTGGCGTGAGGCCGCCTCGTCAGTGTGAACGCCCCGGCGGAAACCTGTGCAGATTCGCATAGGCTACTGTTAGACACCTGATCCTTGAGCTTTTTGTGTTTTGCTATCAACTCCTCCTTGGAGAGGCTTGCCAACTCAGTGTCCATTTCTCCGATATCGAAATACTGTTCACGCAAGGATTTTCTGCAGGAATATTACTGTACTCGATCTGTAAGGTACGAACCCTGTTACTGCCAACAATTGCAAAATGGATCCTTAGGGTTCATGTAACAAAGCAAAGGCGTAACCCGGGATGCTCAGTTGGGCCTTGCGTCGTTACATTGCCCCCCCTTTAGCAATGGACGTCCGCGGCCATTATATCGAGCATTGGAGCCATCCCACCTCACGCATTGTGCGCTGGTTTATCCATTACCCATGATATCGCTTTCTGCGATACCTGCTTGTTGTCAGAATCGAACCACCGACCCGAAGATTTCATCGGAAGTCGTGCGGCCCCGTCTCGATACCATTGTAACAACGGAACCTACCCTGGCGGACCGCCTGGAGGAGGCCCGGCGGCTTTGGCCTGGATGTGTGCCTCGATGTCTTCCATTCGTTTCGACATTTTGTCGATTTTGTCCATCAGCTTGTCGAGTTTGTCGTCGCTGGGGGCTCCACCTGTTGGGTGTGCCGCGGGGTCCATATCGTCAGTTCGTGCGATAATACGTGCAACATTTTGTTGCGGGGACCTAAGCACCAATCTACATGGTGGCATTGCGCCATTTGGGCGGTGTGGGTGGGAAAGTGGTGGCAACCCCCCCTCAGGCGGGACGAGGTCAGCCGCAGTGGTGTCGTTACGTTCACGCTCTTCACGCAACTCACCCTGCCGTGTGCCGCGTTGCGGCTGGAGCGCGGCCGTGGGCAGCGTTACCCTGGTCGGCCCCGTTGTGGCAGCCGTTGGCTGCGCAGTGCGTGCGCGCGATGGCCCCGGCCCTGTTGGGTCGTTGTCGGCGTCCTGCGCCGCATTGGCTAGGCGTTCCCTCATTTCGCGGCTTTTCTGCACGTGAGAGAGTTCCTCGTTAGCTTCCATTAGGAAGCCTAGTGCGGAGCGATAGTCTTGCTCTTCGCAGAATTGTCTGACTTTGTCAAACATGCGCGACGGCGGTGTTATGCCCCTACGCTGGGCGCGTCTCACGTACTTTTCGTACATGTCCTGGACCTTTTGTACCAGTTTTTGCGCTTTTGACGGGCTCACCTGGCGCAGCTGGTAGCGCTCATGGTCGGCCTCCGCCGACTGGGTGCGTTGAGGGTTCCTGGGACTGGCCATGAGGGCTAAATAGAAAATGTTTGAAGAAACTGAGATGTAGGTGCGGAAGCGTTGGAGTACTCGACTCCGAGGTCTTTTGACCGGTTGGTCTAAGATACCAAAGTTGTAACAAAGCTTGCAGTTGGCAAGCAGTTGCGAAAAAGGAAATTATCCAACGATAAAGGTGGTATTGATAAATACCGTTTGGTATTGGAAGATTATGAATAGTTCTTGGATGTACCGTTGGTACGATACCGTTGGCCCGGTGAGCCAAGGGCCGCCTTAGCGGCGTTACAGTTCATGTGAAAGCTTCTTATTCCGCCGTACGTATCGCCTGAAACATAACGAAGGCCCCAAGCCTATGTCAATGCAAAGTTTTCATAGAAGTTTCCATAGAAGTTTTCATAATAAAGCTCGTATATATCTATGTCGAGTAGAGTAATTTTGGAGAATCCGTTTGGTTAGAGGGCTAGCTTGCGCTGCCTGCCGTGTATACTGGTGATCCCTAAGTGCTTTGACAATCCTCATAACAGCATGCCTCCGTCTGTCGAGAAGGTGCGGTCCGCTGCGGATGCGTTGCCTGGGGTTTGGGGCTTGTCACCGCATGACCTACGCGTGCCTGTGAACCATGTGTCTGCAAATCACAGACGCTTGCAAGGATACGAGAGTCTGTTGAATCGGGTGCCTACTATGAGGCGCAGCAAATGTATAAGACGTCATACCACCGCAGCAAGGCCCGGCAACAATTCGCAGACGCTGTCGCCATCCTACAGGTGTAGTGACCTTAGGGACACGCATATCTCACGCAGCCTGCCCCCCAGCAGTGTGCCTGCATCTGGGCAGCCGACATCCCAGCTGCTTTTTCCCCAGGCAATTATCAACTCTTTCGAACTCCCGCGGTCTGTGCGACAAGATTCAGACGCGATGTTTTTCTTAAGGTTGCCGCTACGGCTATTGTATTATAGTCCTGGCACAGATGGAGGAGTGGTATCAGCTCCCAGTTACCAGACCAAACGTTTTCCATTCATGCATGTTGCTATGGTGGACCGCGAGCCCCTTATCAACTGCTAGGCATCTTAGATTGCCAGGCGATTCCCATGCGGCTTGGCCCCACAGACCTTTAGTTACCGAAGTCTACTGCCTCCGTTGCCTCAGGAGGGTGCAGTCACACAGCTAGCCCATGGCCAACCAACTTGTGGGGTGGAGCTGGGCATGCTCCTCATTGAGGTAGGGCCGCATGCATCGCTGCGGCATGCGATGTGGCCAGAACACCAGAAAGCTGAGCACTTATTTTTTAGCCAGCTACCAGCGGCAAGGCTAGGGAGTGTGGAACATGGATGGGACATGGCTTGCGCCGCATGACTTCACATGGTGTAGTGCTGTTAAGCCCGTGCATGGTGACACATGTTGATAACAGGATCCAGGGCTGGGAACTCTATTGTCTGAAGAGAAGAAATGTGAACTCCAGCCCAAAAAATGGCACCTCCTAAGGGGCTTAACCCAGTGACACGGCTGATGGCCCCCTTGCGTCTCACCATGTGTGCTGCCTGCAATTTGCCACCTGCAAGATGGGGCATTTGGCGTTTGCGATGTTAAGTGTGTGCCGTAATGGCGTCCGCGCCCTTCCAAGCCGTCGGCTTGCTTGTGCTAATGTTTTTTGTGCATGCCGCGGCAGCCATGGAGTTGGGACCGTCACCTGCTTAACGCCGTGTGCACTGGCCTGCAGGCTTATGTGGCAGCGTCTACACCTGCTGATGCGGATACGGTATCACGTGTGTTGGCAATCATCCGGGCTTTCCCGCTAACTGCCCGCACATCGGCTGACGCAAATCAGGGTCAAGCCACATCGTCGTCATCCTCGTCACAGGCCGTTGCTTCCCCAGTCGTGGACGAGTACGCAAGGCTTGTCGCAGCTGCGGTCAAATGGGCCAACAAGTACGGGCTGATGGGCGGTGACCCGGCAGCGGTCGGCCTAAATTGTGAACATGCTTCACTGCTATCTAGCACTCGCTTCACCTTTACCTGTGTGATCGGATTAAGGAAGGATCTGGGTTGTAGGCTTGCGGTTGCTTTGGATGATGCGTTTCCTTTACAAAGCAAGTGCAGTGCATCTTTAAGTCCCCAGAGCCATGGGCGTCGACACGTCAGGGCAAATAATGTGCAAAGGTTGCCCCCTTTATAGCGAGGGGTTGCCACTTGGAACTGCCTTAGGGGGGCTAGGGGAAGCTGACGACCCATTGCCGCCCTGCTGAGGATTTGTTTGGACGATCGCGCGCGTCCTCAGGAATGGCGCCGTGGTTTCGGCGCGCCGTATTCACTCCGCCTTCGCATCCTATCTGTGGAGGTCTTTTGGTACAGATGGGATTGGCCGTGCACTGCCGCACTTCATACGAGGAGAAGACGCAGAGGAATTCGCCGAGGGTGAGGCGGCATTGTGGGCCGTGCGCTTGCTGCGCTCATGAGACGTGTGCACGCTGGGCAGAGCTCAAGCACCATAGCTATCATTTCCTAGTCGAATGTGTCTGAAAGCAGTGCCCGCTGTGGGGCATCTACGTCCTGGTGCGGCTAGGGGCTGCACGGTCGCAAATCCTCGGGTTCATACCATGCGCATGTATATGCTTTTTAGCACCTTCCAGCACAATTACACACACGCAAACACATACATACACACGCATACGCACACAGCCGCATATACTTTTTAGCCATTTCAACTGCTCCAAGGGACGCCTTAGCCTTGGGTCAAACCTACGTCCAAACTGCTTTCATCCTATCTATCGTACGAAGTGTTCCCGTTTGCTGAGCCAAGTTTTCCAGTGCCCGAGGTACGCACCATTGGCCTGCGGGTTGTGCGGTGTCCTTTTTTGTCCCATGGGACTGCACCAATCATATTAATCATGTCATAAACAGCATGGTCTCTCCACGTCGTTTGTTGGCATCGCAGCCCTGTATTCGTGCGCCCGGCAAGGTCCTTCTGGCGAGGCGGATCTCTGGCTTCTGCGTGCCGTGCTGCAAGTGCTAGCGGCAGCCTCTGGCAGCAGCTCCACGGCTCAGATGTCCTACGCGAGGGCCCTGTACGACGCCTTTATTGCTAAAGACAGTCCATTGGACACCCCCACGGGTCACTTCACGGAGCTCGTGCTACTGGTACGAGGCCCCATGTGGTGCAGGCCAGCTCTCTTCGGCCTGGCATCACACATATCCGTGCGTCCCCTAGCAGTGCATCACAGACTTCTGGCCCTGCTAGCTTGACCCCGACTATGGCGGATGGACTTGGTCGACCATCAAATATTGTAGCGCGATACAGGGCCTGTAATGTAATGTAACTATAATGCAAAAAACATGCATTTTACGGGATGGAGCTGGGAGGCGCCGGGCACATGCTGAGGTTGCTATTGAAGGGGTCGCCATCTTAGTCCTGGGCATTAACGGCTGTCGTTATCGGGTGTGGCGCCGCCTCGCAGGCTGTGGAGCATACGCCTATCTCCCCTCGCGCTCACGACATGTTCGCCCTGGTGCGGGAGCGCTACAGCGACGGAGTGCTGCGGCGGGATGAATCCCTGGGGGCCCTGATGGAGCGCGTGGAGGGGTTGTTCTTCAACATGCGCCGCGGAGGGAGCGCTCTGGGAGGCCTGCTGGGTGACTTGTTCAGGACCCTAACGGAGGTGCAATGACTCTGCAGAGATTGGGCCCAGGAGGACCTTAGGATCGGAGTGTTCGCGGCTTAACGTGGCCTGAAGGACAGTGTAAATCGTTTGGTTTCCCTGCCCGAGGCTGTGTGTGTGTGAATGTGTGCGTGCGTCTGTGTGTTTCTGCATGACAAAAAAAGAAAGAGAGTGAGTGTGTGGTTTGTAAGCTTGTGTGTGTTTGTGTGTGTGTATGTGTTTGTGAGTATGTGTGTGTTTGTGTTATGCATATCGACACGTTTTTTCGTGGTGCTGATGCTGTGCTATCCGAAACGGGACACATAAGCCCGAGGCGAGCGCCACAATAAGCCTTCTTGGTGCATCGGGGTACCTTCCAGTGGCAACGTAGTTCCTGGCTGTGAGGAAGGTAGCGAGCCTGGTTCGCGGAGGCCGAGGCCGCTGTACGCTTGATGTTCCTTTAGCTCGTGTCTCGCGCGTGTTCTCCATGTGTGCCTGTTTGCGTGGCCGCCTTTGCAGTACGTACCCACCAAAATGGCTGTATGTGCTCCAGACCCAAGAAGCGGTGAAACAAGCACTGGAACCGAGACCTTCCTTATGTCATGAACACCGAAATGTTACAGGAGCTTGCTTGGCGCAACGCATCCAGCATGTGCATGCGCTTTGTATGAAGCTCTTGATATCTCACGTCTCGCCGCCCAATACCCCACCCAAAAGTAAGAGCTCCACCTCAACACCCGTGCTGTGGGAAACCCCTACTAGGAAACACCCACATCAAAACTTCAGGCCCGTAACAGGACCGCTTCCGCCGCTGCTCACCACTCACCACGCGGGAACTCATCGCAGGAACACGACATCAAAAACAGAGGTGGCCACAGTGCGACAACGAGGTTCGATGGAAATAACTGACAAGCACCCACGCATCACTCAACAGTTTTGGCAAGCTGCGCATCCATGCGTATTTACCCAACAGCGACGGATAGGCAACTACTGCCTGCAATTGCTATGCATGTGACGTCTCGTATACCGGTATTGGCAGTTTATTGGTTATGCTGTGTCTACGTTCACATAGCTAAACAACGTAACGTAGCTGAAGGCAGCAGCGGCCGGCAGATGCGGACAACCGCCTCGACTAGCAAACATAGCAGCGATACATTACGCGCTGGGCGTGAACTTGGTGGCGAAGGCGAAGGCGTTGTTGACGGCCGGGTTGGCCAGATGGTCGTTCAGGTTCTCAATGGGCCCCTTGCCGGTCACAATGGCCTGCACGAAGAAGCCGAACATGGAGAACATGGCCAGGCGGCCGTTCTTGATCTCCTTGACCTTGAGCTCGGCGAAGGTGTCCGGGTCGTCAGCCAGGCCCAGGGGGTCGAACGACTCGCCGGGGTACAGCGGGTCCAGGCCCTCGCCGGCCGGGCCGCCGTTCACACGGTAGCCCTCCACCAGGCCCATCAGGATCACCTGCGCGGCACGTGAGCAGCGAGAGCGGGGGAGAAGACAGCAGTCAATACGGATATGCAACACGCCATCTAACGCGTCGTCTGCTCGCTTGGGGTTACGTTGCAATAAAACCAAGCTGGATAGGAAACGAGACACCCAGATTCCTGGATGTGCGTGCGATAACGCACAATGCTCACATGTCACAAGGCTGCGACTAGGAATCCAAAGCC